TGCAACCATTCCAAAATCCAAAATCCAAGCCTGTTAATTCTAACGTAAATATAAATAATGTATAATATATATAATATTTTTGTACAAAAGAATAAAACGGGTCAAACGGGACGGTACGAGAAAAAACTTATAAAAATCGATACCGGTATTGTTTCAACCGGTTAGGTATCGAGAACGGTAAGAAAATTTTAAAAACCAATTTGCAACCATATTTTTTGGAATGGGACCATCTCGGTCCGATTCGGAATTGGGAAATCCGGTTTTTTTGCCCACCCCGGTTTGTAAATATTTGACAAGTATGATCTCAATTATTGATATTATATCGCTAAAAATAAAAATAGAGTAAGTAGAAATAAATTATTGACTGATTTTTAGTTTTTTTTTTTTATTTTTGGAAAAGTCAATCAAATCAAAAGATTTATATTAATTATTAATATCATAGTACCTAAAATAAAACTCAAGTTTAACCACGGATAATAAAGAAAAAAATCACCAAAAGAACAATAGAAAATAAATAAAAAGTTTAAAAAAATCCTTATTTAGTTAAAAATAAATATTTTTTGACAAAAAAAAAATATTTTAAATATATGCAACTCATAGATTTTTTTTTTTAAATAAGTTTGTGAATATACTGCAAAGTCGAAAGACGAGATCCGTGAGCCGCGGCTTAGACACATATACTGATTGAATTATACACGCGTTTTCGGGTCTTCAAACAAAACATATGATTATCGATCGTTCATCACTCACTCACACTTGACATCAAACCGAACACACCATGTCGACTCTCTGCGTACCGTCACACCTTCCCTCTGTGGCCGAAGACTGCGAGCAGCTCCACAAAGCCTTCTCTGGTTCGATCGATCGATCTTTTCCTTTCTGTTTTATGTGTACAGAATATAGATCTTGTTATCGATGATGGATCGCCTTTGTTATCTGATTGTTGGTTTGGCCTGTCAATTGAAATGTGATTGATGATCTGAGATTGATGGTAAATGATCATGTAAGGGGGAATTGCTAGGGTCCCGTTACGGAACCATTCTGTCGGGATTTGTAACCGTTAGATCATCATATAACCGTGGAAGATAGTTGATCTAACGGTCTTACCGTAGTAATTCCCCTAAGTATGTTTTAGCCCAAAATGTGATGATATATTATGTATTGTAACTTGTAAGATCTATTGTTGGAGTCCAATTTATTCACTAATGATTTTGCCTGCAGAACAGAACTTTTTATTTTCATGTTATTATTTCATAATTTAATTTTTATTGTAGGATGGGGGACCAATGAAGATTTGATCATATCAATCTTGGGACACAGAAATGCGGCCCAGCGCAAGGCTATTAGGCAAGCCTACGCCGAGACTTATGGAGAAGATTTGCTCAAGGCTTTGGATAAGGAGCTCACCAATGACTTTGAGGTTCAATTACTGTCTTCTCATACCTTCTATACCGTTGTTGGAGTACATATTTGTTAGATATCAAAATGTAAAATGAGGCGAAACTGAATTTCACATGAAAATCTAATTCTGTCGACTAAATTCAGAGGGTTGTGTTGCTGTGGACATTGGACCCTCCCGAGCGTGATGCCCTCTTGGCGAACGAGGCTCTTAAAAAGTGGACTTCGAGCAATCAAGTTCTTGTCGAGATCGCTTGTACGAGGTCCCCTAAGGAGCTGCTTCTCGCCAGGGAAGCTTATCATGTTCGTTTCAAAAGGTCGATCGAGGAGGATGTTGCGTATCACACTTCCGGAGATTTCCGCAAGGTAAACGAGATTTTCTATTGCATCCCTTTTTATATTCTATTTTGTAAACAAATTGTACTTAATTTGACCATTCCTCTAACCATTAGGACTTTTGATCTTCAGGAAAGTGATTATGCATGCCAGTAACTTATTTCTGTGCAATAAAATTTGGATGTTCTTGGTGCAAGTGTTTGGATTTTCATAGGACTTGTGAGGAAATGCTTGAATAGAATTATACGTGAATTACAGTAAAGAATTCTGGCGTTCCTTGATCTCTTAAGAACTCTAATCCAATCATATAAATTATATAGTTTGACGTAATTGCGAGAAAATTCAATCACCATCTTTCAAAGTTGTAACACAGGTCACGTATGGTTTCTTTTTCTAGTGATTAGACTAGAACATCAAGGATATTTTGTTTAGTAGTTCGATTATGTTTAATCCATTGACTAAAGATGATGTCTTATTTGTGTCTTGTACAGCTTTTGGTCCCTTTAGTAAGCTCATACCGCTATAGTGGGGAGGACGTGAACCTGAGCCTCGCAAAAACCGAAGCTAAAATCCTTCATGAGAAAATCTCGGAGAAGGCTTACAGCTGTGATGATGTCATCAGAATCTTGACCACGAGGAGCAAATCACAAATCAATGCAACACTTAACCAATACAAGAATTTGTTTAGCAATGATATAAACAAGGCATGCTAAATTTTCTCTAATAATCTGTTTTTAATATTTGTACTAACACTATACATTAATATCTTCTTTAATATGGCATTTGAAATTGTAGGATCTGAAAAGCGACACGAAAGATGAATTCCTATCTCTATTGAGAGCGACTGTCAAGTGTTTGGCCTATCCCGAGAAGTACTTTGAAAAAGTGATTCGGCTATCGATCAACAAACTAGGGACTGATGAAGGGGCCCTCACTAGGGTTGTGGCCACAAGAGCTGAGGTGGACATGAAAATCATTAAAGAAGAGTATCAGAGGAGGAACAGTGTGCCACTCGACCGGGCTATTGCCAAGGACACGAGGGGCGACTATGAGAAGATGTTGTTGGCCCTGATTGGCCATGAGGAAGCTTGAGGTGTTTTTGTGGGCTTACTAAACATGTGTGTGGCTAATAATTATTGCTGTTATTATTGTATTCTGTTTGGAGTTTTGAGACTTATATTAAGCTATGTTTTGAGTTTGGCCTTTGAGCTAATGACTGCCTTTTTATGGGGCAACATTTGAATAAATTTCGAGCGTTTTGTG